GTGGTTGAGTATCAGAGTGTTCCATCTCATTTCACTTTGGGGTTGCTGTAGGTGATCTGGAAGTCTGGTTTTGAGACTTATTTATGTGTTTTCTCATTTCAACTGGGGGGAGGCGGGGGTGCTGTTGGCACCCACGCAGCTCACCTCCTCTGAGCTGGGAGAAATGGGACAGGGGCCAGGAGTAATGGCAGGTATGGTGGCCCAGAAGCCCCTTCCTCTAGACCAGGAGCAGTGGGATGGCAGCCCAGAAGGCCCTACCTCTGGAACAGTGGCCTAATTTAGCAATCACACACCCTTAATCCTAGCATCACACACTTTAGATCTAGCCACTTCTGAAAAGCCCCACCTATGTCTACATAAGGCTTTGAGGGGACATCTAGACACAAGCCACAGCGCTTGCAATTTCTTAATATTGTATGTACATATATACATGTATATGTGTGTTTAATTTTAATAAAACTAAATAACAGTTTCAAATGTATTTAAAAGGAATTCAAAACTGTATATGAATAAATTAGCAGGTACAATACTTTCAGTTGTACTATGGGGAATTAGCAGAGGCACAAGGAAAATGTTATGCAATAAATGCCTTAGAATGTCATAAGGATAAGAGGATTTGAGGTTTGAAATTCCAGTGCTCCAAAAAAGGCTTTGAATGACACTTTCTGGAACTGCTTCATGCTTAGAAAGTTGAGCAAGAGCCCCACATTGAGAGAAAATCAAGAATTAGACATGTCACTTTTTTATTTTTCTACTATATGTTATCTCTAAACTATGAACAAACATTCAAACTATATCTCAGGATTTTCTGAGAACACAAAGAGAAAACATATTTATTAATTCACTCAATAAATATGATTAAATCACTGTTCACTATCTGGTCTTATTGTAGATATAAACTGAAGGGCCCAAAAGTCTTCCAACATGAAGCCAACACTCCAGACAGAGTGGACTGATCACAAACACAATAAAAAGTAACTGGCAAAATATATTATAACACAGTACCTGTTATGGAGAAATGGAGAAAGGGCAAAGAAGTGGTAAGTGGAGAAATTTTCTAACTTTCAAAGAAGGCCAATGAAAGGACTCGCAAAGGTGACCTTACCAAAGTCTTGAAATAGGTAAAAGGATTACTTTGTGGACATTGAAGGGAAGCACATTTTAAGTAAGGAAGATATATGTGAGAAACCACTAAGATTAAAAAGTGCTATACAAATATACATTCAAGTGCAGCACCTGAAAAACCATTTAAACATAAATACTGCCAAGGCATAAAGCAGGAGCCAGAAATGGATCAATGACCCAAACACATTGTATGACTATAATTGTAGCTATCTTGTAAAATTCATTCCCCCACTGTTGATGGAGGTCTGAGCATCCTAAAACTACACCTCTAAGGAGAGAGCAGAGTGTATTCTAATAAATAACATCTTCTTTGGGCATAAAACCTATGTAGAGAGACCGCTACAATGCTTAGTTTCATTCCCTAGAAGCTACAGATATTTCTACTCTGAATGCTTCGACCTCACTAAATATTGACATCTCCTAGGGTCAAAGCATCATAAGCTCTGGAAAGCCCCATATCCCTGGGGAGAAAATACCCCATTTTCTAGAAGTTAATATGGAACAGATAAACACTTTATGTGGAATGGTGGACATTTTCGATTTACTCTGGCAAAAACATTTCAGTAGAATTGCACTTGTAGCTTCACTAAATTATATAAAAATTATCTCCTTCCTACTTGAAGAGGTATGTTAAATGGGGAAAGGGAAAACAGAAGGAAATATTCACTGTTGTCCCTGTAAGACATGTGTGGTCCTTAATTCCCACAACAATCCTCTGATGAGGGTCTTATTTGCCTTTTCCCATTCCACAGCAAGAAAATTAAGATGCTTCAAGTTTGTGTAGTTAGCCTAAGTCACATGAGTAAGAAATAGTGAAACATGGCCCAAAATTCGGGCCCTTCAAACTTCAGAACTCAAACTTTTTCTACCACCCCATGTTACATTATGTTGAAATGTCAAAAACGTGGTGCCTTGACATCACAGCTGTTGTACGCCCCCTTTACAGACCTTCGCTAGTTCTTCTGCAGGAGATGCAGGAAGTATGTTCCTCTGTCCATGAATTTGTCCCTCAATATTATAATTAATTATTTACACATCTCCCACCACCAATAAATAAGGTACTTCTCCTGGGTCAGAACAACATTGCATTATTCATATTTGCAAACACTTTACCAGGTGATACATCCAGAAATGTTTGAGTTTTGAGCTATCATCTATCCACAAAAAAGTATATGGAGCAGGTAAGAATTTATGTCCACAAGGTTATCAATGGCTATTATAGAGTCACACTCACCATCTGTTATGAATTAAATTTTATGAATACTTGGACTGACTTATTTGTTGACTCAAGGAAAATTTCTTAACAATTACTAATTTTCAATCCCTATTGAGACAGTGGAGATACACTTAGGGATAGAGGAAAAAGCAACATGCCTTCCCTCACTGAGCTTTCATTATAGACTGTATTATGGACTTCTTTAGATAGAGAGCAAAAAATAGCCTCTGTAATGAGATGATAATTAAACTTGAGCATAAAACAAGGGAAGTGCAAGACTCCTTGACAGTAGGATGTTCATGTGTTATAGGAATTGTGAGAAAACTATAAAGCTTGTGCACAGTGAGCAAAGACAGAGGGTCTGAAATGATGTTAGAGAGATAATCACACCAGATTTTGCATGACTACAGAAACCTTAATAAGGTTATGGATTCTATTATATCAACCTTTATGTCTGCATGTTGAAAAGAGATAGCATCCTCATAGAGCAATCAGAAAAATTTGACAAAATAGGTGGTTAATACATGGCCTGAAGTGGAAGAATTATGGTGAAAGATGGGTATCATTAGACTCACACATAATAAGTACATTTCTTGACTGAGGTCCCAAGTGGTAAAAAGACTCCTCTTGCAAGATGCTATGAACCTGGGGAAGGAAAAAGGAGAGAAGAGAACATCAACCAGACCAGACAATTGTGACTGTAGTACCAAACCGGATCAGCAGACATGCAAAGTTTATTTTTTAAAAAAAGAAGAAGACACTGCAATAACACAGTAAAAACAGAAATGTGTGTGTTGGAGAAAGAAGTGAGGGGAAACATTTTCACTGCCTTAATTCCTATATAGAATACATATAAAAATGGAACTTCTCCAAAGTCTTTACAAAAATATCACCAGAAAATATTTTATGATTTCACTCTAGAATCATATACCAAATACAGTGGACCCTTGAGTTACAATTGGCCTGACATACAAACAACTTGAGTTATGATGGGAATTTTAGTTTTAATTTATGACTAAAGCCTTGAGTTATGACCTGAATGCTGGCTGCTTATGCTTCCAGATGGTCTCAGATACAGATTTAACCCTTAAAGAGTTCTGGAAGGAACATTACAACATCCTTTCCTATGTGGGACTAATTGAGAAATCTTGGGCCAGTGTCTCTCTAAGGACACTGAGATCTGCCTGGAAACAAATGTGGCCTAAAATTATATAGAAGAGAGAACTTTGAAGGCAATTGACCATCTTGAGTTACAACCAGCCCTCAGGAACAAATTGATTTCATAAGTCAAGGGTCCACTGTATAATACCACTAGCCACATACACATATTTAAATTTAAATTTAAAATAAGTAAAATGAAAGTGTTAAATTAATTTGGTCACTCCAACTCCTACAGTCTTCAAGTGCTCTGTAACCACCTGTGTCTAGTGGCTGCCATATTGGATTCATAGTTTTCTCTCGCTATGGAAAGGTCTATTAAATACAACTGAGGTAGAGTCTTCTTGCAAGATCCAGAAGTTATGAATTCACAAAACCTAACATGGTCTTTCACAGATTTTAGATGCTCAATAAGTATTTTCATACTGTTGGATGAAGCTAAATTCAAGTAAGAGGAAAGATAGGTGGGAAACTCATTTGTAGGAATCAAATGGGCAAAATGAACCACTGAAATTTCAGTAAATCTATTTATAATTGAAGGCCCTGGTCAATGGATTTGGCAATACTAAATCTTTCTTCCTAAATTCTCAATATATGGTATTTGTGGAATTTCTTTTTCAGTCATGTTGTGATTTATGTAATTTCAAAAATATTTCTTTGAAAATAAGACAAAGTCTAGTAAGTATGTTCAGCTGCTTGCTCTTCTTATGTCCTACTTGGATCAAGGATACAATGCCTGCTCTTTCTACAGAAAGCCCACCAGATATCTGTCTTCCATATGAAGTCAATTAAATCTCTGCCCAGATTCACCTCTCTTTGCACATGTTACAAAATTGCTATGAAAAATAAGTAAAATAGGTATTTAAAATTGCTTTTAAAAGCATAATAATCATATTTTGAAAAAATATTGTTGCAATTTGGGGGAGCAGACAAGTTGCATACAATTTAGCTGTTGAAGGCTGGCGTTTATCAAAATATAAAAAACCATTCCCAGGCTAATAATTAACTTACCTGTTCGCTGCTGATCAAATTGAAGCACCTGTTTTTTCTGTTAATGTTTAAAATCATTTGAAAGACTTCATTTGTGTTTGTTTGGGGCCTGGATCCATTATCTCTTGTCCTCCTCACCTGTTTTTGCATCTTCTGTTCTCTGCTTGAGTTTGAAAATTAGGCTGTCCTCACCTCCTCCCATCTTTACAAGCAATCAAAGTAAGTCAAAAGATGGATAAAGACATCCAAATCCACAAGAAAATCTCATTTGTTAAAAGATTCATTTGACAAAGAACAATAGTAAAAGAAAAGAGAGAGATGCTATCATCTCTGTAATGTTCAGTTTCAAGATCATTTTCCTGACAAGTTAACATCATCATTACTATTGCTAAATCATTCTATTTAGGTATCACATTGGCACCACTAATGTATTTACATTTAAATTTCACTTTAATTCTTCCCTTCTTCTTTTCAAAACAATTTATATTTAATTAAACATTCTCTCATTTATTATCCACCCATTTATTATCTCTCACTACCTCCTAAATTTGGTCAGGCAAGTGCTTCTATTTCAGTCTTTCCCAAGGTTCAGAGAAGTGACGTGATTTACCCAAAGTCACACTCCTGGTGAGTGGCAGAATCAGTTGCACTTATATTATCCAAGCAAACATTCAAATGAGTCAATTTCTGGAAACCAGTACACATGTGTTTTCTTGCCAGTTGCCTTAAACTGTCAGGTGTTATTTCTTGGTTAAGTCCATGTAAATATTCTTTTTTGTTATAAATTTTACAACATTATGGAAACATTTTTAAATATTTTCTCTAGGCCACATATTCTCCATGCCATTCACACGTTGTAAAAGATCTCATACAAGCCAACCAGAAATAGGAAGTCACAAGAGCCCCACCTCAATACAAAGATTTTGTTTAAAAGCCTTCACAGAAACTTAAAATTAAACCAGCCTGTGGTGTGACAGTATGATTTGCTATGATGATTTCTTGCTGTACAGGCTAAAAAGATCAAAACATGTAGCAAAGATAAATGTTCAGCAAATGGAAGTAGGGTCACCAACTGACCCTGCACAGAAATGCCAGAAGCCCCCTCAGCACACATACAAAAATGGAATTATTCATAAGGTTGACTTTTCAAGCACCTTCTTATCGATTTTGGCAGGAAAGAGCCTTTCAGCTACCAGAAAAAAAATAGCACAAAAATAGCACAAATAAGCTGATCTGAGAGGGGCTTTGGTTTGACAATATTCTCTTTGCCCTTGTAGCCCCACAAACATGGAATGCTAAAAGTAGGCAGAACGCCTACTCGTTCACGAGATGAAACAATGCAGCAGACTGTGCTGAGAATGAGATTTGGGAGTCAGAAGGACTGGCTCTTACAAACGTTGAAAAATGAACTGTTTTAGTGCTTGTACAGAACCAAGAACAGCTACACAAAGGAACAACATAGACAGCAAAACATTTGAAGGTTCAGAAAATGGATTTGATGGATGGAATTAAACTCCTATTGAAACAAACTCCAAAACTATAACCTGACTCTTTTGAATTCATGCTTAATGTTTTTATTGTTCCAACTAAGAGAAAATAGTTTATAATCTGACAGATTAAACAGTTCAGCTCAGCAACTGTTAGCACAGATGAATTTGGTCACTAATATCCCTCCAGGGGAAATTTGTTACTTTGCTACACACAAAGATATTTTCCCATGACTTTAAATAATCCATAATTTTGCAGATTTTCTTTGACATGATTTAAGGAATAATTCCAAGTTTTCTCAAGCTCTTTTGCACTTAGATTTGCCTCCTAGCTAATGTCTTGTTTGTTGCAGCAAGAACGCACATTTTAAAAAGTGTAAGAATGATTGCTGTGGGCCTGGGTTTGAGAGCTAATGTTGAAATTAACTTCCCAGGCACTATTTCGCTTTATTGGCTCACTGGGTTACTAACAATAGATACAAAGCAGACTCCTTCGTCTGTAGCCTTAGTTGGCCCCAACCTGGGATAACTTCTAAGACTGCCACAGTGATACCATTGTAATTGAAATTATAATATGAAATATAAAATGGCTACTTTTCTAATTTTGAAAGTTGTATTATTGCCATATTCAACCCACAATGGGAATTTCTCCACTCCTCCCACTTCATTCATTTCTGCTCTCTAATTTTGTACACATCGCCCACCCTCAATAAAGTTCTAAGTTAGTGTTTATACAAGGAGAATCAGACTATATTTTATTCTTCTTTGCCTACATTATTTCAATGATCTGCACTATCCTTTGCAAATAATATTTGTATTGTATATTCATCAAGTATATAAATAGATGGCGTATTGCTAGAGCATTGAATAACTTAGTCTCTACCTCATTGCTTCTTCCCTATGTATTTAACATAAAGATATAAGATTTAGAGAGATGATATAATACAATGATTAGGAGTCTAAAATTTTGCAACAAGGAAAAAAGGCTCAATTGCTAATCTGTAATATGACCTGGGAAAAATAACTCAACCTCTGTGAGCCTCAATATTCTCATCTATAAAATAGGAGTAATACCTGATCCAATTGCTTCAAAAATTAAGTGCAACCATGAAATTACAGTGTGTAGTATAGAGCACTTTCTTAGTGAGTGGTTGTAATAATAATAATTTATTTTGCCTAACATACCATAAATCTATATTTTCTAGGATGGAGGATGCTCCATTAATGACTAAAAACACAAGGAAACCACAAAATTCCTCCCTTCTGTTCATTAAATCTTTTTACACCTTGTCACTTTCTGACTACAGTAAGAAGAGAGATATAAGGAAAAGGACTTTATTGTGCTATTCTCCAGCCTAAACTAAATGGGGGTGGTGAAGGGGGCACTAAAGGGCAGAAGAGAAAAGCAATTACTGTTAATTAGACACAGTAACTTTGAAAAGGGGAATACAGGATCCCATTATAATAGAGCAATATTACAATATGATTAGCATTGACATGCAAAACTCATCTATCTCATTGGCATTCCAGTCAAAGTCATTACCTTATTCAGTCAGAAGCCCTGCCTCAGCATCTGGAGGAAATTTTTTCTGATAAAAGAGGGTGCACATATATATGGGCATTATATACCACCAATCATGTGTGCATACAGCTAGTCAAATAGGTAACTTCTCTGAAGTAAAAGTAGACAGGCTTGAATAACAATGGAGCCTGTTTAATAACAAACAATCTGACAAGTGTGGCTAATGCTAAAGCTTTTGCAAAGTAAATTGTAAAATATTTTTTAAACTGGAGGAAATGTAAGGGTAGGTAATATAAGGGATGGATGTAAGCAAAATACATTAAACACATTGAACCCCCACCCCCTAAAATGTGAAATGGGGTGGTCAGGGCAAGGTAGAGATAGGAGAAGAAAGTGATCAAGATGTATTATATGCAGGTATCAACTTGCCAAAATAAATCCACTCATCTGTGGAGTTAGAAAAGTGAAAAATGTTTAAAAAGTAAAGA